AGGGATAATGATCTTAGTGTGCATAAACTCAAGAGGTTTATCGATGACCCTGTGTCAATCAGGATTCTCTTTATTATGAGGCCATCACTTTCTACCGAGATATATAAATGATGATTATGTTATGTAGTCCCTAACATGAGATCTTCTTCAGAGAATATAACAACAGGTTCATTTCTGACATAAAGAACTTCACTCAAACATCTTTCTGTGAAATATGTCTCATATCTCTCTGGATTTTTGAGAGCCTGTATTAAGATTTTTCGAATATATTTTAACATTATAAGAGCTTCATAGATCCTGAGCTGTGCTTAAATTTTTCTCAAATGAGAAATGATATTAAACTCTATTACTTTATTTGTATTATATTTCTTCTTATGATCTTCATTGATGATTATATTTTTTTTCTTATTTTTGTTTGATAACCCCCTTTTTAATGGCGGTGGAAATATTTTACAAGGAGTATGGGCAAGTGAATCAACCTCAAAAAGAGTCCTCAAGTCTTATAATGTGCGCAACCTGCAGATTTAAGCAATTTAATTTTATTTTATTTAAATTCAAAAAAAAATTATGCCACTCAAAAATCTGGCAGCCTTCCAATGCCCTCTCCCCACAAGGAGAGGTTGGGGAGTAGAATTTGCCCTTTTGGCTCGACTCGTTTGAATGAAATTAACGGTGAGCAGTTTGGGAGAGCAAATCGATCCCATTGTAGGTCTTCAATCAACTCAGCCGAATCAGATCAAGAGTCGAGGGCTTCGGGGGATCGTATCAATCCCAGAACTTCCTTCAAGTATTCAATTTGTTGTGGTTCTAGTTTTAAAATCATTCTCTCTCTCTCTCTCTCTCTCTCTCTCTCTCTCTCTCTCTATATATATATATATGGCAGAGCCCAATCGGGCTAGGAGGCGGAGCTCACACACGGGCATGGAAGTCTGGCCGATGGTCGCTGGAGTTGCGGCCAGAGAGCGGCAGAAGGTTGGGCTCGTGAGGTCGGCCTAATTCGGTGGTTGGAGTAGAGTGCAGGTGGGGCTCGGCCGGAACAGGCGAGAAGATCAAGTGAATCTAGGGTACGGTGACTTCGGCATCAACTAGAGTTCAGAGATGGATGCAGCAGTCGGAAGCGAGTGCTGGCGGCTGAAGGAGGTCGGCTAGGGCTTCAAGTATGGACGAGTTTTGATTTTCTGTCTCGGTCGTGTCCGATAGAGAGAAATCAAGAGAGACCTGAGACCCTTGCGATTTTTTCTGGTTTTTTGAGCGCCAGAGTTCGAATGGCCAAGGGATTTGGTGAGTGGGGGGTTTTGTGCATGTAGGATGGTTTTGCCATTTGAGAGAGCGTGGGTAGTGGATGGATTGTGAGAGACGTTGAAGTGGAAAATTTATTAAGTGCAATTCCGGTGAAACCAATAAAAATGTATCACGTAATCCCAAGAAATATATCGCGCTCGGTACCAAACGTTCAGTACCGCTCGGTACCGAGTGGGGAATCGAACGATTCTCCTATCCAATATCTGCATGGAATAATTCCTCATTTAAGTGGGGGTTGCCTAACAGTTTCAGTCTACAATCAACAATATTTTTATTCTTTTTTCAAGTAAAGTATTATATTTCAAAAGTACAAAATATATGATGTAACCAACAAACAACTTTATTCATTTCTATGCAATTATTACCATAGCATGCTTGTACTATAACATGGAAAGAGATTTCATCATTTCAAGTATTTCACTGTATCAGAGATTTTGTATAGTATCAATTTTCATAATATCACATAAAAAGTGCATGTCAAAGTAAATAGTGATGCAGTAAAGTAAAAAAGAAAGAGAGAGGCAAATCGGTTTATCATGTTAATACAAGCTTTTTAATATCATAATAATCCACTATAAGTATAAACCACAAGCTCTCTCAACACAGCCACAAATATGCTCTCAAAATATATAAGGTGTTAAAGAAAAAAGGTTAATATCAAGTGCACACTTCTATGGAAAAAGCTCGCCAAGGTTTTGCAAATCTAGGGCCATGGGATCTCTTAAAAGAAGACAATTTTCTCTTCGTCGCAAACATTGCAGGGATAGAATATGTATTTATATCAAGCACCTAACTAAAAAAAACTCTAGTTCTATGATTATCACTACATTACAATTCATATCATAGAGTATAATCAATCAGCTTCTAGTTCCAGGTGCTTACAACAACAACAACAACAACAACAATAACATCAAGCCTTCATCCCACTACATGGGGTCGGCTAGATGAATCTTTTTTCTCCATTATATCATATAGTATGATCAATCAACATATTTTATTAGCTCCTAGTTCTAGGTGCTTAATTAGATTAATTAAGAAAATATATCATACAATATGATATGAATTGTGTAGAAGCATTATGTAGAATAATTAGTTCAAAATTTAAATTAATCTGATTAAGATAATTAATTAGGCATTTTAGCTATTTAAAATGGTATGAATCATATTATATGATTGATATTGAACAGTATAATTAATTCAATATTAGAATATTGAAGTTGTTGTAAATTAATCTTATATTCCAAATCACATAGTAACATAGTTTGTATGATATGATTCATATCATACTCTATAATTAACACTTGTCAAATTATATTAAAATAAATTTTAATTAAATTATAATTTCAACTTATATCTCTTATGTGTTCACATACATTGTTTTTTTAATCTTTAAACATGAACATATACAATAAAGATTCTACAAAAATAAAAAATATATAATTTTGAGTCTTATAGCTTCTTGCTTGAGCTACCCTAATCAGCATGATTTTTATGAATTGGATGAATTTCATTTATTTTGTTACTAGCAATCTTTGAGTCTTATATATCTTCCTTGAAATATACAAAATATTGCTAAATCTCAGCCACTATGTACCTGCAATACTATTAATAAATACTTGAATAAAAATATATTTTTGTTAAAAAATAAGATTATCACATTATATTTATTATCCTTAAAAACTATAATCATGCTTTTGGCTCATGGAGTTAGCCCTACAACTATGATTATAATCCATTACCTGACTTAAATTCTCCTTCCAACTTATGTTCAATCTGATTAATTTTCACAATCCTAACTTTATTCATAACCTTAAAGATTCTCATTTTGGTCCTGTTAATAAAGAAAGTGGCAGTGATGAAGATAATTATGATTATAAAGTTGTTACACAAATATATATATATATATATAAAAAATAGCTTTCTATTAGAAAAAAAAAAAGAAAAACAATTAGAAAATATGCGCCATACGATAGTGTGGTATCATCCCAAAAACAATGCAGTTCAAAAAATAGCACAAATAAATCCAGACTAATGTATTCCACACAAAAGAAAAAAGCACAGCTATTTCTAAGAAGGTAGCAAATTTCACAACCAAAATTTGATTCTACATTTGAAGATCATCAAATCGAAGTCTTGGTGGCGATAATTCTCCTAAGGCTTCATTTGATATTATTTTCTTACTTCTTAAAAAAACTTTTCTAACACTAAAATTAAAATTTTTATACTAAAAAACTGCTTTACAAAATAGTAATAAAGTCATCTCAAACAAAGACTTAATTTAATCACTTTTACTATAAAGTTTTAGGCTTTGTTTGGGACGGCTTTCTTACTGCTTCTTAAAGCTTTTTTCTAATAAAAATTTTAAAATTTTGTACAAAAAAGCTACTTTAAACAGTAGAAAAGCCGTCCCAAACGAAGCCTTAATCAGTTGATCATATGAAAGAAAAAGTTACATTGCATCATTTTGAGTCCAAGCATATGATTATTAGCCAAGAAGACAAATCTCATGGATAAAGAGGCATTGGGAATTATACATTTATCACCTAATAATTAGATGAATGTTACCTTAAAAATACTGCACAATTGGACCCTAATAGGTGTAAAGAAAGCTCAATTTGACATGTACGAGAAGCCTTCAAGGTGAACAAGGCCTATCTAACGATAAGGATTTTTGGAAGCACTTCCACAATGGCACACATATCAATGAGTTCAATTGGATTACAAAGAAAAAGATCCTAATTGATATTGACTGCAGTGATGAAGTCTGTGTATTGAACTTGTTATCAACACTACTAAAAAATTGGGTTGGAATATTGACAACTGTAAGTGTTCCAAAAAAGTCTATAAAATTTGAAGATCATTGATGTTAGTTTATTATATTAGTTTATTGATAAACCCTAAATATTATATAAGAAAATAGATGCATGGTGTTTAAGGACGTCACAAATTCTTCTCATTCATTCAACCAGAAGTAGAAATAAAGGTTACAAGGGTAACTCATGAAGTACTCAAAAGGTCAATAATTATCTTGGATGTTACCTATGAAAGAGGATTTTTTCTATTGGGTGATCAACAACAAGCACTAAAGAGTTACATGTCATAAATAAAAATCAGAGACCTTCAAAAGAAGAAATCAATTATTATCAAAGAGGAAGATGGCTTACAAAACTGTTTTTATCATAGAGAAGACATCATGCTTAAGTTTAGAAAGAGAACAAAGAGTCAAAAAAAAAAAAAAAGGGCATGCTAATAAATAAGATAAGGTGAGAAAAAAATATTTAGATTAGTCTTCTCATTTTCACACACTTCATTGCTCTCAGAAGCATGTTTTTCCCAACATGATATACATGTCAAAATGTGACGAGGATCAAAGCGAAGGGTTTTGTAAATCGGGGATCTACATGAAGTAAAACTCAAACCAAGTTTAACATTAAAAAAATATATTGGCTAACCATATTTCCGTGCATCACACTTCTCTAATGTCACAACAATGTATTTATGTTCAATTTGAGGATGTGAGAAACGCTCTTAACACACGAACATCTACAGAGAGAGATGCTTTGCTCATCCATGAGCGCAAAGACAGAAGCTTATTTTTCTCAAGATTGAAATATTATAACTAAGATCTACGAAAAATTTCCTTCAAAATGTGTAAAACGTAGCGCGTAAGTATAATTCCTCTAGTAAAGCTTCTGATAGATATACAAACAGACAAAGAGCTTTAACACTTAACATTGAAAAATCATATATATACAAGGAGCTTAACGTCATCATTTTATTCAGAAAAAAATTTCTATTATTACGATTGCTTCTTTAAGGCCACGTACAACAATGATACTTTGGCAATCACGCTACATAGCACAAAAAGAAGGAAAACAAGACTTTTAACACTTTACCTATTTAAGCTGTAAGCAATAGCTGAAGCCTGTTCAGTTGTTTATTGTTCTGGTTAGTCAACAACTGATGAACATAAGAGCCAAGCCATCATCAAGGGAAATATGAGTATAGTAGAAGCCTGAGATTCACGATACAAGAAGGTTTTTCACGTTGATATCCAGCAGCATTGCATTAAGAACAAAAAGTTCAAGGCAAATGCATTTAGAAATTAGAAACTACATACCACGAAAAAAACAAGCTCACTATGAGCTAAAGGTGCAGTGTAATCATTCATTTTCATAGCTCGTTTTACTGTGCATTGAAGCTGGAAAAGAAAGTAATCCACAATTAGTCAAGTGGCACGCAGTTTGCAGAGAATTGATAGCTGAAATTATATATATATATATATATATATATATATATATTAAGTACAGCATTTCAACACTTTGTACAAAAACGTTATGTAAATATTTCTGACAAATAATAATACTGAACATAAACTCTGACAAAATTGCATGCTAACAAAATAAACAAATAGATTACGAAGAAGAAAATACAACTAGAAGATAAAGCATGTGTTTGGAGTAATGGTGAAATTAAAAAGGGGTTGCAAAACTCCAATCAATGGCTGTAAATTCTTAATCAACTTATAAATTTGTTAGACTGTCCACTGGACCGGCTTGCGGGCAACAGAGGTGGAGAAGTTCCGCCTCCGACATATCCTGATCAAACCGTATAGTCCAAAAGAGAAGAATATGAAGGTTTTAGAAGAAGTTTAGGAGGGAAATTTGATAGTAGGGACTGTTTTGAGATTTCTTTTTGGATTGTATGCATTAAATAGTTTATTTTCCTAAAGTTAGGGCATCTTGAATTGGCTAAAATTTGAGATCTCTCTTAGATTTTGGGCTCTAGCAGCGTCTAGAGAATTGGGAAAGATAAATCCTCCTCTCAAATAGAGAATCAATTGTATATTGGTATTTTCTGTTTACATTTCATCAAATAATACAAATTATCTACTATTTTCCTAATTTTGTGGAGAACTCTCGCTGTTTCAAAAATTGATATTACTTGATATCTACAAATGTTTTCTATCAAAATTATTTGAATTTCATTTCTTTCCCTTCAGTTCAAGCAAAACGGAACTTTATATTACTTTCCTTCAGGACACATATTAATCCATCATTTGGTCCTGCCAAGTACTTTCATACACAATAGGATGGCAAGAAAGTTAGCCAGTACTGCATTAAATTTACCAAGAAAAGCCGCTTATTGAAAAAATAAATTAAAAATTACTAACTAATATGTAGCCTCATCTTAATAACCAAGAATCGAGCGTTGATTTCTATAAATAGCGTATTTTATTAATTTTAAAGGGCACCAAGACTTGAACATAAGTTAACGTAGGATTTTAAAACATTTAAATAGCATTATAACTTTTACATACTAAAAAATTTGTGTCGATGGAGTGTTTAATATCTTAACGTTGCACAAAGATCTAACACAAATATAGAAATGACAAGAGATCCTAGAATATTTTACATGGAAAACTCAAGAAAGGAAAAAATCACGAAGGCAGGCCATGTTGCAATAATCACTATATAATTACTGATACAAGAATATGCCCTTCTATATAATTGAAGAACGCATGATTACACAATTGAGAATAATTATCAGATTCTCGTTGTGGGGATTACAAAAGTTGAGTGTCCACTATGGAATTATCTCTGCTAAAGTGTTTTTGATTTTTTAGCTCAAAATTTCAAAAGATATATTAGATTTAAGATAAAATACAACCCAAATATTTTTCTTTTATTTTGTGAGGACTTTATGATTTAATTTAAGGTTTCTCATAGGTGCATGCCCCTATAGTTAATTACCCATTCTGATAATGTGAGAGAACTTTCAATTAAGGCTAGTCATTAGAAGGTACTAAGTGCTCAATGTATAATAGTAGCAACTAGACAAAGGATTTGAAATTTGCCATCATGAACTAAAAGCGAGTAGCAGAGGAAATGATGACGAACCCATTCAAAATCTCATGGTTCCATCATCATAGATTATCAAGATCTATAATCTACTTAGCCATAGGAGTCAATCTAACCTAACTGAAGGATTATTATCGACAATTATAGGCTACTTCGTCCATGGGAATCTTGTAGACTTGGGATAGATGTTTGTCTTATGTTGACCTACATGCTATACCCAAAAAAAAAAAAACTCAAAATCATACCTGGTACACGTCGGATCCAAGAATCCTGTCGAAATTGAGCTGATTCAACGATGTTCCGAGATTTGCTCTTCTCGATCCCTGCCCATTCGCATTGTTAAAATGAGAGCTAAGCTCTCGTTCACAACTCTTCTTCCTCCACGCGAAAACTCTACAAGCCTCCTTCCACATCGAATTCTCGTCGCTGCTTCTGACTCCACGAGCAGCCCTGAACTCTTCCCAATCCCGACTCCCGACCACTTCAAACTCCAAGGCCAGATTTGATTTCCTCCACTCTTCACCAAGCTCTTTTTTCTGATCGAACCCGAGTAGAGCTGCCTGATTGAATCCATCAAGCCGTAAATCTATACACTGCAGACTTCCTATTCCCAATTGAAGCTCCGACCCTTACTTGTGTCTGATCTCAGCCTTCCACTCCTGAAGTCGACCACCTCACAAGCCAAAATCTCCATGCAAGATCTGCCCTAACCGAATGCTTCCCCTATCGAAATTGCTCAGACCTCATTCACCTAGTCTCACAACATCCCATAGCTATCCGACCTCCAATCGAAGCACAAGACCAACCCTTGCTCGACCTCTCGATTCTTCTGATCCATAGAGAGAGAGCATTTTTCCCTACCAAGCCGAAATCCTCATCAGCCGAATCCTTTCTCGTGTTCTCCAACCCGACACTCCTATACCCAATCTCTTAGATAATTAGGTTTATATTCCATTTCTAATTTTAATTATTAATGATTGCTAATATTTATAATAACTATATATATATATATATATATATATATATATATATTTGTGTGTAAAAAAAAGAAAAAGAAATGTTTGTGTGCTTTTACACTGTCATCGTCGCCACTTCGTTTTGAAAGGTATAACTTTTCTAACCTAAAAATCCTATTCTCGAGGCTTACGACGAGTCGGCAAGCCTCCCTACATGCTCACGTAGCACGATGAGAGGGAAACCGGTGCGACGCTTGCGACGAGATGGGTAATCCCCGGAGCGCTCATGTAGCATGAGGGGGACAAATTAGGTACCCATATATGGGAAAATCACTATGTTTTTTTCAACAGGTGTCAGAGACCCCTAAGTGCTCATGTAGCGTAGTGGGGATTAAAGAATACACAGCCACAGTGTCACCCGTCATCTACTTGAAGTGCTCATGTAGCGTGAAGGGGAAGGTTGCCCTTTGATTTTTTCCTTAAACGGGGGAGACGCTGGGAGGCTACCAAAATTCAGAGCAAATATAGGGGACCATGCTTGGACTCAAATTTTAACCAAATGCAAATTGAAAATGAACTCCAATGGACTTAATTTGAATTTGAAATAAAACAAAAGATTTGATTTGAACTTGCAAACGAACAACAGGGAACTTACAAGATTTGGACTTGAACTTGATTTGGACAACAAAACTTGATTCGAACTTGATTTGGACAACAAGACTTGGACTCAAGCTTAGACAAGGATTTGAGCAAAAGCAGGGAACCAATTTGAACATTCACAGAGGACTTGATTTGAACCAAATAAAGAACTCAAATTGAAAACAAACGGACTAAGTTTGAATTTGAACCAAATCCATAAAAATTCGAACTCAATGTGATAACAAGGAGTTGGACTCAAATGATCAATAAAGAATTTCATTTCAATTGAAATGCAATTGATAAACAAATGAAATACCAAAACCAAATAACAATCCTAATCATCCAAATGGAAATTGATATATGAGTGAAAGACTTATTGAAGTTTAATGAACATGACTTGATTGATTCATTCTCAAGCAACAATGCAAACTCTCAATGATACCAAGAGGCCATATACAAGAAACATAGTGTGCTTACAAGTGACAGTGGAAAGGTAGTAGTGAGTGGTTGCAATGTTGAATTTTTTTTTCTCATCGCTTTCATCATTAAGATTAATCTTCCTAATCCTATCACCATAAATATCAGTAGTATCATTCTTAATAGATTCATATTTAACTCATCAAATGAAACGTGCACAAATTCATCTACTATCATAGTCCTAGCATTAAATCCTATGCAAGTCTTAATAAAACATGAACAACCAAAGAAATGGCGTCATCTGATTTCTATCCAAATTTTCTAATTGATTTTATCAACTATTCAAAACATACACATATATGATTTCCCTCTCTCTACATGGCTGCATTCAAGCCATTGGCACAAAAGATGAATTACTTTGCCCAAAATGGCCTTACGGCCATCTAGCCAAAGATCAAAAAACATGAAGGAGTTGACTAATCAAAGAAATTTATCACCATGCTTGGCCCACTAATATTTTTTTGATAAAAGCCAACACCAAATGGAGAATGTGCATGAATTGCGTTGATCATAACAAATCGTGCCCCACAAGATGATGCAACCAAAAAAATATAAAGCCTACTAGGTATGCAAATACTCGCTTCCTTTCCAAATAACTTAAACAAACACAACAATAATAAATTATTAAAAAAAAAAAAACATGACAAAACAAACTTAATAAGAGACAACGACATCTTACAAATTTTTGTAGTTTGAGAAGAAATATACAAAGAAGTGTAAAACATGAATAGAAGAAATAGATTAGAAGACTCAGATGAATTAGAAGAAGAAAAGAGGTAGAAGATTAGCTCGCAAGCTAAAAACTCTTAGGCTTTGTTTTTCAAAAATCACTACATTTCACTCTCTTAAACCTGCCACAAACAGCCCTTATAAATAGAGAAAAAGAAGCCCAAAATACAACCAAGCAACTGCCCAAAACAACCAACCAAAACATGGGAAATGGAGGCCAACAACCAGCCAAAAAGGGGAAGAAAAAGGCAGCATTAAAGGCACGGAAGAAGCCCACCTGAATAGCCAGGAATCGAGAAAGCCAAGAGGCAGCAACAGGTACCGAACAACAAAAGCAAAGGGAACCGGAAAAGCCAAGGAGCAGCAACAAGAACCAAAAATCCAAAGCAAGGGGAATCAAAAAAGCCAGGGAGCAGCAGCAGAATTCTCATCTCCTAATGAGATAACTTCAAAACTTCCATGATATGCCGAATGAGCCAAATCCAGCTCTTGTATTAAAGCTGCATACTTTCTCTTCTCATATTTTTCCGCACACAAAAACATTTTTTCTTGAATTTAGAAGAGTTCGTTTTGGATTAGACCGGTAGAGCTTCCTTGCGGCGGGACCCATCTGCTTGTTGGAATTTGGACTTCAAGATCAATTGGTTGATTTTCATCAACAATAGATTTTATTACATCATGATTTTCCATTTTTTAAAGACTCAAAGAAAGGAAGATCCACTACAAAAATCTGGCTCTAATACCAAATTGATCCAACCAAAAAATATAAAGACTACTAGGTATGCAAATAATCACTTCCTTTCCAAATAACTTAAACAAATACAACAATAATAAAAAAAACATGACAAAACAAACTTAAATAAGACACAACGACACCTTACAAATTTGTGTAGTTTGAGAAGAAAGATAAAATGGGTTGTAAACCATGGATAGAAGAAATAGATTAGAAGACTGAGATGAATTAGAAGAAGAAGGGAGGTAGAAGATTAGCTCGCAAGCTAAAAACCCTTGGTTTTGTTTTCCAAAAATCACTATATTTCACTCTCTTAAAACTGCCACAAACAGCCACAAACAGCCCCTATAAATAGAGAAAAAGAAGCACAAAAGACAACCAAACAGCTGCCCAAAACAACCAACCAAAATAGGGGAAAAGAAGGCCAACGACCAGCCAAAAAGGGGAAGAAAAAGGCAGTATTAAAGGCACGGAAGAAGCCCACCTGAACAACCAGGAATTAGGAAAGCCAAGGGGCAGCAACAGGTACCGAACAGCCAAAGCAAGGGGAACCGGAAAAGCCAGGGAGCAGTAGTAGGAACCGAAAAGCCAAAGCAAGGGGAACCGAAAAAGCCAGGGAGCAGCAGCAGAAACTGAAAAGCCAAAGCCCAGGGGAACTAGGAAGAGGGAGGGGGGGGGGACTTGCTTACATCACAAGACAAATTTCCTATGTTTCACATCGACTAACTTGTTGATGTCAAGTATAATAAATTACATCCTTCCACACTTAAAAGAAGCTATATTACTGCAAGGTAAACCATTTTAGGCTCATAAATTTTGGTGCAACCTATCAATGCATGGTAACTATAATCTTCAAGAATCTCATAGTGCAATCCATTGCATTTGGTCGACTGGGTCATCTCATAAGCAGGAACATGCAACCACATTTTGATCATGAGAGGGCAATATCTGCACAATTTGTTGTCGATAAATACAAGGAATGTCATGGAAAAAGACCAATTTAGAAAAGGCAGTTGTTGATAACTAAAGGGCAACTGTCAGAGTAATAGAACCCTAAATCCTAAACCCTAAACTCTAAACCCTAAATGTCCTGGATAAAGAACAGTTAATAAAGGGAAACTGTCAGAGTAATAGAACACAAACAATTCTCTCTAAATCATCAAATTGAAACGACCCACCCACGACAAAGGTGACAGTAGAACTTCATGTAAACTGATTCTACCAGCCTTCTCCAAAATAGTTAATAATTAAAAGGAAGAGGATAAAAGAAAATCGGAAAAACAACTTGAGTAGAAATTTTAGTAGTAAGCTAGAATCAAACAATTGTAAGTCAACATAGATACATATCAGATAGAAATACACAGACAACTATTAGAAATGGATATTATACTGCCACTGAACTTTTGAAGCGCCAAGCTTAATAACAACAACCATGTTTTACGAAGCATTGGCTTTTTAAGCACAAAGTAAAGCTATGTATACAGTCTTTGCAGTCCATTAACGCAGTTCTAATTCTGGGATGGACCGTTCACCAACAGTAATATATAATCATTTAAATAGAAACCAGCAGCAATTCACAACAGTTCTTTCAATGAAAAAATATCACATGAAAATTGATCTAACTACATGAACTCTACATAATAGTAGTTGGTTATAACAATTGCATCTTTTTCATAAGTCAATTCCATGACAAAAAAATTTCAGAAAATAAAAAGTAAGAACCAACAAAAACTAGTCATTGATTAACAACATGCCCAAAGTTTAATATTCAAACCTCATGATGCTTCTTTCGTGCAGCTGAGATAATTCCCTTAAATTGATTGGATGCTTTAAGTAAAGAGGACCTTGATATAGAACCGCCCAGAAAAAAAGAATCAGGTAACCCAACTGGCTTTGAATGAGAATGTTTAGCCATGCTTCTTCTAAGCTGCGTAAGAAGGAAGATTTCATCGTTCAAAATTGTCCTTCTTGCAAGTCATTCACTTAAAACACAAAACAAAGTTACAATCTCCTATACCACTAGTAATTCCAGGCAAGAATCATTAATGCTAAACATGCAATATAATACTAGGAACATGAATATATGGGCTGGAGCACAAAACCTCAAAGTTAACAGACTAGCATGAAAAGCTAAGCAACCAAATTAGGGTTTAACATTAATCAGTGGATTCAAGAAAACATTTAGTCAAAGAGATTGACTCCGCTATGGCCTTTAATGGGAAAAAAAGGTGGACAATGTTTCACAAAGTTAGCTTCAAATATTTGCAATGAGGTTGTTGTCCATCATGGAGCTAATTTCAAAGGTCTATAATAATCTAAACATAAAAAAGTAGGAGACTCATTCAACTTATTCTCACCATACCCATTCCCTTTGATTTTGCAACCCAAAAGCTTCCACACCCACTCTCTCTAACACACGATAGGGAAAATCTAGAAGAGTAATGTTCACCAATAGCCAATAAAACTGGTATGATATTAGCGTCAGGCAAATCAAGTCTGAGCCACTTGTGTTTGGGTTTGGTTTGAATCACTGGTCATTTATATTAATCAGATTTAGGCCAACATTATAAGTAATGGGTTAGTTTTGGGTTAACAATGAACCATTGTCATATTAAAATCATTGTTTAAAATTGCACAATATGAGGCTGATGTGAAACTATCATGAGATGACATGAGAATTGCACTTGAAATTAAATGATATATTGAATCAAGCTTGTTACTAAAACTTTATGCGTAATCAATTGAAGTTCAAGAATTAAAATATGAATGCTTAAGTAACAACAAGAAATCACAGTCCGAGATTTGAAAGCTTTTAAAAATAATATCAAAACGTCAAGTATTGCAAATAGCTAAAATTACCAAAGCCCCAAATTTAAAATTTAGACCCTTCACCTTAGGATCCGTCACTCAATTTGAGGTGGAGGTTAGCGGAAGAGAACCGTGAGCAGGCTTAGCGACGCCACTAGTAGACAGGTGACCTTGAGAGGACTTGTCGCCGGGTTGGAAGTCGGGTTCGAAGGAGCGGGTGGACGGCTTTCGATGATCCACGTATAGACGGAGAAATGATCGTCTATGGAGTCCACGAGAGTTGGTAAGATCCGGTCCAAGTACTCTTCAGGGGTGTCATCGAAGTCGAATCCCACGTCAAAGAAGGGTGAACGGAGAATGTCGACTCTTCCGTTGCGGTCGTACTCAAACCCGAAATTCCATTCGGGTACCTCCATGCGTTCTAGCCGAGAGCCGATGGAGCATGCTGGGAGGGGAAACAAGAGGTCACCAAGTTATGAAAGGGTGCCGGGTTGCTGTCGTGGGAGGAAGGGTTTGGATGGGAGAGCTCCAGCCAAAGCCAAGGGGAGTTCGGGTAAGGGAAGACACACCTCAGGTCACGGCAGTTTCAGGATTTCTGAAATTTCGCTTAGGGAGGAGGCGTGGGGGGATTTGGGAAAACTAATTTGAAAATCAAAATAGTTTCCAAAAGGGTGCCAATAGTTAATGGGGGATTAGAGTTTTAATAGGAAACAATTAATATAATTGAAAGAGGAGTTCACGGGCAAGGATGACCGGCCAAGCAGGGGGGATTTGGAAATTGGAGGTGGGGTCCACGTTTGAAGAAATTAATCCTCAATTAATTCTGAAATTTGTTATTTCAGATTTAATTTAAGTTAGGTAACTTCCCAAAATTAATTTGAAAGAGAAGAAACAGGAATTTGAATTTCAAACGCAATCAAATGTGATTAATTGCCTGCCATAATATGGCAATTAATTAGGCAATTAATTAGGCGTTAAGGTTTGCAATTCCACGGGCTGGGCAATGCAGGGAGGATCGGCGGTAGGGGCCTGCAGGAGAAAATTCTTTCAGTGTGCTGGAACTCTCGGCTGGACTCAGCTGTGGAGTTTGGGGAGTTGTGGGGGTGGAAAAACTGCACGGATTGGTCTTGGATTGGCGGCCAAAAGCCTGGGGAGGGATTGGCCGGCGGGATGATGCAGCTAAGGTGATCGGCGGCCTGAGCAGGTCAAGGCTAGGCGGCGGCCAATGCAAGGGGAGGAAGAGAGGGAAAAATCATGGGATTCCAACGATCATGAAATTACTAACCTCAGCTATATTCAATTTGAAATTCCACGAGATTGACAAGCATGAAAACTAGAACTCAGAAAGAGATCTAGTCTTCTCCGGCGAACTCACTAAGAGATCTTGGAGGGGGGGAACTCACAAAGAGAACAATGCTCAAATTTCATTTCATCAAAAACTAAGCAAATTACAATGCATATTGCCTCATATATGGAGGCTCCAAATGAAAGAAAAGAAAAGACAACAATGCCCTCGGGGCTACATAAGTCAAACAATGCCCTCAGGGGCAAACTCGGAAAAACTAATAAAAATACATGACATAAGCTATAAACTCAAAAGTAGAGGCTCTGGATCGTAGCCGTCGATCTGCGCCGTCGGCGATGGTACACGTTTCGAAATCTGATGTCCCCATCAGAGGCTCACCTTGAGGCCTGCCTCAGCGCAATTCTAGTGAAAAATGCTTTGAGGCTTACGTCTCTAGCTTTTTTATGAGGCTTGCACCTTAGCTTGGTTGAGACCCGCTTCGTCTCGCTAGCGTGAGGCATACACCTCACCCTATTTGTATACTTTTTTTTTAAAACTAACATAAATCATAAAATTTATTATGCAACTGAGATAAAGACCACTTCAGTGATGACAGTGCAGATAATTCCTAAATTGTTACAAACTATTTCAAGTTTCATTAAAAATTAAATGTAAATGAGTAGAGAATTGAGAAAAAAAAATTTGGAGATACATTTCATATTATATGATACTTTTATGCAATTTCTATATTTAATATTGTTTTGTCTTTATATTATTTGGATTTTAATTCTATTTCATACAATTTATTACTTGTCACTTTAGATCTTGTGCAATTTTTTATTTCATATGTATGTCAATTTATTAATTCATAATTCAATAGGAAGTTAATATATCATCATTTAACATATTATTTAGATATTATATAAAAAATCACTTTTGACATTTATTATCACTTTATTGTTTTGTCTTGAAGCTTACGCCTCGCCTCATGAACAGAAAATGTCTCAATACCTAATTGTGAAATTTTAAACATTGATTAAAATAACAAAAAAATATAATGAAAATTAACAACATTTATTAATTATTCACTCTTGTTATTTAGTTGGTTAAATTTCATTATAATTTTTGTATTTAATAAACAACAAAAAATATATAAATAAATATAATCTCACATATACCATAATACCCAAAATACTATCATATGTGACAATTGTGGTTAACTTTAACTATTATTTTTTGCTATGCGATCAAATGAGGATATTTTTTAATAGTAGAAGGACTATACTAGAGCATTATGAAAATTTGTGACTAAATTGAGCATTTATTAATAGCTGGGAGACTATTTGGCTTTTAGTCATTTGATTAATCATTGAGTGTAGATGAAATTATTATACTAGCCTAAATCATTGAGTGGAGATGAAATTATTATACTACACTAAAATGTGAATTGTGCTTGTATAAATGGATAAATAAAAAAGAAATCTTATTTTCTTCTCCTTTGATGCAACGTCATAAAAACTAATTGCCTACATTTATCCTACTGAAGTTATCCCATCATTATGCCTAACCCTCTTAAGTGCATGGCTGACCTCCAGTGGCACTCACCTTATGGTTCACTTTGGCGTTATATCCATATCCTCTTAGACTCTTCCATGATATATGAACTCCTTAATGGACATGCCTTCATTTAGATCAATAAGAATTGCTTGTTGATTCTCTTCATCTCTTGTTTATGACACCCTTTCCCCGTCTACATGGTCAACATTAACTAAGTGGATGCACTAAAGTTACAATTCATGGTTCTGGGAGACCTTTAATGGTAGCCATGAGTTTTTCAATAAATTGGAGATGTCAAACATAAATATATCAAATACTTTTAAACTCTCAACACAGGCATTGATTATTAACTCATCCAATACATAGGCATTTATCCTCATATAAGTCTCTATGTTTTCCCTAAATCTCAAACAAACGATAATGAAATCCTACGTATTGCAACCAATGCTCTAATTCAAAAATATGATTTACGGAACTGATAGAAAATATTTAGGATAAGGTAATAAATCTTCTTATGGAGAAAGGGAGATTTCTTGGAGGTTTCTCTATCCTAACTGAGGGGAGAGATAAAAAGAGCAATGAAACTCGTTTGGATAGTGTGTCTTGGGCTTAACCAAACCTAGGATGGCATGCTAGAGGAGGAATAGTAGGGGAGAAAGAAAGCGAGGCATGGGTATCAGCTCCATAGCCTAATAATATAGAGAAAGAGAATTCAACTAGGAAAAAAAATCAATTGCTTTAAGCCATTGTTTAAAATTGTGCAATATGAGGCTCGTCTTGAAGCCCGCCTTTGCGCATTTTCAATGAAAAACGCCTCGAGGTTTACGCCTCGATTTCTTTTATGAGGCTTACGCCTCAGCTTTGTTGAGGCCCGCCTTAAGGCACGCCTCGCCTCACTGGCATGAGGCTTACGTCTCACCCTATATATATAAAACTTACATAAATCCGAAAGTAAAGTCCCGAACAAATCACACTTTGTGCACCCCCGAGTCGCAACAACTTTCTCTCAACTGCCTTAACCTCTAGCCCGTCGCATTTTCCACAGCCACCACCGTCATAGCCATCGTCAAGGGTCACTTGAAAGCCGCACACTACCACCTCTAAAAAATTTGGAGTATTAACCTCATCTTAATATTGATGAAAAACATTTATAAAAGAGGAAGATGCTTGAAATAAATGAAGAAGCATATTGGGAGGCATTGGATTACACATAATGAGACAGAGAAGAGACCAATTTATTATAACGGCAACTCAAAGAAAGATCCTCTCAATGATGACAATACAAATAATTTTCTAGTTGTTGTCAACTATTTCAACTTTTTTTAGAAATTAAATTTAGATGAGTAGGGAACTGAGAAAGAAAGAATTTGGAGTTGAATTTAATGTTATATGATATTTTTATGCAATTTCTATATTTAATAATTTTTTGCATATGTAATATTTGTATTTCAATTATATTCCATACAATTTATCACTAGTCACTTTACAACTTGTGCAAATTTTTATTTCATATTCATGTCATTGTGTTACTTCATAGTTCAATAGAAAGATAATATGTCATCTTTTAACACATTATTTGTGTATTATATTAAAAAATACTTTTAAAAATTATTTGCACTTAACGCAATTTTTTACTTTGAGGCTCACGCCTCAAAACGCCTTGAGGCTTACGCCTCGCCTCACAAACAAAAAATGCCTCAATACCTATTTGTGCGATTTTAAACATTGCTTTAAGCTTGATAATTACATTCTAAGGCATCATGTTTATAGAAAAATAGAAGTTATCTATCTATCAACAATTCTAACAAAATGCATTAATTTAAAATCAAATTCAAAATTGGCAAAATGTAAACAAATTTTGATTGGCATCTCTTAAAATAGTTAATAATACATAGATTGTGTCCTTAGAAGGCGATTAGCAACCTAAATTAAGGGAGTAGATTTTGTGGGGTGATTTTAGAATAGCCTTCTTAATTTCATTTATATAAATCTCTTTTATTATCCTAATTTACTCATTCCATCCTATTTTTAAAATCAATTTAGTCATTCAAATGCTTTTATTTGTGGATTCAAGAAACCTATAAACTAAAGCTAAAATAACAAAGAAATTTACGAGCAAGGCATGAAATCCCTTACACAAGAAATTACATATCAATTCACAATTTAATGATAGCTTGCAACAAAATTCATGATTTACAATACATAATTCTTCTTCCTATGAATCCCTTTCTCTTTGAACATTCACCTAACCATTTTCCTCTTTCTTACACTTGTCATTTCCTTTATCTATATAAAACTGATCCCCTATTTTCTCTCTCCAATATTGCTTCAGTCACAACACAAATAATTCAAAAAATTCACCCGAACCGTCGTTAACAACAAAATTTCAATATGCATGCGATAAGAGTTTTGAGAGAATATATATATATATATATATATATATATATATATAGTTAATGCATTAGCTTATACAAATTAATTTAGTATTAAATCATTTAACCTAAATTTTATTTTAACATTACAGTAGATGGGATCACCCGAACCGTCGTTAACAACAAAATTTCAATATGCATGCGATAAGAGTTTTGACAATATATATATATATATATAGTTAATGCATTAGCTTATACAAATTAATTTAGTATTAAATCATTTAACCTAAATTTTATTTTAACATTACAGTAGATGGGATTATTGTTGTGTAGCTTTGAAAAAAAAATTCGATTATTCCACTAATCTAAGAATGCATCGGCTAAGGATGATAGATAGTGATAGTGGAGATCAACTTTGAGAAGTTACGAGTATATTGTTATATGATTAAATAATGAGAAAAAGTTTAAAATACTCCCCCAGCTATTTCTAAGTGTTCAATTTCATCATAGAATTTCACACTGCCCCAATGAATCCCTCAACTATTGAGAATTGTTTTAATTTGGTCCCTCCATTAACAAGACTACCCAAATTGACAAAAATGCCGCTCCTCTCTCCCTACATCATAATTTGAGGGCATTTTTGTAATACTTAATAATTTGTATTTTTCAACTTAGTCAATAATTGAAATGCATAGTCTACTTAAAGAAATTCATTAAAATGACTATTATGAGAGCCATAATTACTCTTCTTATGCTTTGACCGACTTAATATATCTTATTCTAGGTTACATGAAACATACTATATCCAATCATATAATAATTACCTATGATTCCAATCATCAAGTTTCTTCGCTGCACTTCAAAATTTGTCTCTTCTATGCAAGTTCAAAAATATAAACCCATGAAATCATTTTACAAAATAATGGCCAAAGAACTTGAAAGCCAGAAGGTAAGTTTAAGGCAATTGACCGAATATCTACATGTGTTTCCAAAGTTCAACCAGTTGAAATTCTAAAGTTGAACCTTTCAACTCCACTATTTTTATGATTGGTCCAATTGAAAATTCTGAAGGCATCAAACACTCTCAGATGAAGAACTTGATCTTGAAGAGGACTATCGATTGTCAGATTTAATGCCTGTCTGGTGAGCATAAACATGAGATTGAAGAAACAGTCATTTCTATTCCTAAATTAATTTCTGTTGTTACTAGAGATACTTTTATAGTGATTTCTTCAAATAGAGAAGGTAGCTCTACCAACATGGCATTCACTTTTGAACTTTTCTGGCAGAATTCTTTACGGTCAAGTGAAATTGATCAAGTAGTATGAACATTCTTCCCAAATCTAATCCAATGAGAGAAAGTACCTAATACGTATATCCTATGTGGTTTATGTTTCATGTTTAGTTTATGTTATGTTATTTCATGTGCTATGATATGATGGCCATTGTTGTATTATTATGATCACAATTTTATGCGCACTGATCCATGAGAGGTATCTTTAAGGATGTTTTCAACATTTTAGTATTAGTCAGTGTTGTTAAACACATGCTTTAAGAGAAAAGCAAAGTGACATACTGACCCTATGCATCGTTTGTAATTTAAGAGAAAAAGCAAAGCGACACGCTAGCCCTATGCATTTGTTGCCAATGAAGTGCAAGCTCACAATAAAGTGCATTTTTCTTCTATGCTAGACCTTAACAATGATTCATAAATTAGCATAAAAGATAAACATCACATGATTGTTTCAGCATTGAGAAGACAAACTGCATAAACATAAGATGCAAATCCAAAATGGCACCCTCAAGTACAGCATATGCATACCCTTGACATTAGACAGCCATTAGACTTTTTTTTCTTGTAACCATCAGATCGGGCTTTATTATTTACCCTTGATGCCATTACCTATAAAGTCAGATCAAATGCCACGGTTCATTAGAAGAGTACCATTCATTCTGTACAACTCCAAAGAAAATGCTTTCAACGCGTTCATATAGCAAAGAGACATAGCAATGTTACCTTTGTCATTTGAAGTGATTGCTCAAGTTGCTGGATCTGAATCCACTGCTCGTTAATAATGTTCTGCATCTGATCGTAAGACAAGTAGTGCTATAAAGCTTGTTAACGCACTTAATGACTGGCTTTGGAATTTTGAAGTTTAAAACAAACTAGCCCTTCTAAATTTAAAACTGGAAAAGCAAGCCTATTGTTTATAAATATCTTGTGAGAAATAGCCAATAGATTAATTGTTGACTTGACCCCATGAGTTTAATTCTTTAATAACATAATTTCAATTAGCTAATCAGTGATTTAATGCCAAAGTTTTAATGGTTTCATTTAATGATTTGCTAAATATTTAATAGTTTATTTAGCAAAACTGCCAAACCGTGCAAATGATGAACCAGTACTCTAGGCAACTTTAAAAACAAGAAAAAAGTTTCAAATGAAAATTTCAGAGACTGCTGGAAAAAAAAAACAATTCAAGATTTATTGATTAGTTTAAGTGTTTAAGTTTATTTTCATTGCATTAATTGTGTGATTGATTAACGTAAAATCTCAAAGATAATGGCATACCTCTTAAACTAAATTAAGCATTTTTTATATTAAAACAAACTATTTCTGAAACCAAAGTAAAGATCATTGGGATTGGTTCAACTGAAAAGAAAACCGACAAGATCCTATTTATAAGGTTTTTTGAAACATATTTAATTTCTATTAGACAGCTATGTGATTGTTGATTAGAAGTTACAATTTATTCATCAAAATTCAACATTAGACAAAATGATAAAATCATTCGGTTGAATAGGCAAACGAATTTTTACTTGATTGACATTGAAAATATGAATAGTATAAACTTTGCTTGTTTAAAATCTAGCTTAGAAGATGCGTAGTTATGGTATAGGAGCATACATCATGCAAACATGTATTCATTATAGGAACTTTCAAAATTAAACTCAATAATTGAATTATCAAAACGTAACTTTCATTTTGATAATATTTGTGCTGCTCGCATGCATGATAAATAAACAAGGAATTTTTTTAAGAACAAGAACATAGTTACTAGTACTAGACCATTAGAGTTATTTCACATGAATTAATACGGGGTTATTAGCACCACTAGTTTAGGAGGGATATCATACAGATTTGTGATTGTAGGTGACTCAAGATACAAATGAGTAATTTTCCAAGCAAAATAAATATGATACATTTGAAAATTTTAGAAAATTTGCAAAACATATTCCAAGAAACAATAATATATGAAATTTAGGATTCACACAAATCCAAGTGTGCAAATTATTTGAAGATTATTATGATTAAAATGAAATTAAATATAACTTTTCATCACCTAAGAAACCTAAACAAAATGGAGTTGTGGAGAGAAAAACCATAAACTTGGCAGAACTAGTTAGATTTATGCTCGAAAAATATAATCTACCAACATAATTTTGGGCTTGGGCAAGGGCATTGAATATTGAATGTAATGTAATTAATAGAGTTAATCTTAAACTAATCCTTAAAAAACTGTATATGAACTATTTCGGGAAAAGAAATTTAAAATTGATCATGTATATATATATATATATATATATATATATATGTTCAATATTACATTCTTAAGAATGAAAAAGAATCATCAGTAAAGTTTGATGATATAATATTTTTAAATATTTAAATATTAAAAGAGTTTAAAGATTATTTAATAGAAGAAAATTATTGTATAAAAACTAATTCATGTTATCTTTGATATGAATTTAGTTGATCCCATTAAACACAACATAAAAGAGCAAGACACTATTAAATAACTCAAAATATAACTTCGGAAGTAAGATAACAGACTCGTTACCAAAGAGGAATGAAAAATAACTAAGAATAATCTTAAGTTATTAATTATAGGTGATCCATCTTCAAGAATTAAGATTAGGAGATACATTAAGTATTAAGGAAGAACATAGAACATTCAACATTTGCATTACAACAACAACAACAACATCAATCATTTATCCCACTATATGGGGTCGACTACATGAATATTTTTTTCTCCATTGTGTCCTGTTAAGAGTCAAATTATCATTTAAATCTAATAAAGAAAGAACATTTCTAATAATTTCTATCTAATTCTTTTAGGTCTACCTCTACCTTTTTTAACATAGGACAAATCTAATACATCTACTCTCCTAATCGAGTCATTAGAAGGCCATCATTTGATGTGACCAAACCATCTAAGGTGACTCTCTAATCTTATCTTCCACTGGAGATACTCCAACCTTTTCACATATATACTTGTTTTGTATCATGTCTCTAAGAGTAAAGCCACTCTGATAAGCCGGTTCACCCTGAACCGGCCCAAGAGCCGGCCCAGCAGCCGGCTCAGGTGTATAGGAGCCGGAAAAAGGGGGGTCTGCCTCCTTTATTGCTGCCGTCCCTTTGGGCCAATGGGGAGAGGGGATTTGGGAGGCTAGTTTGAGAAGAAAAATTTGAATGAGAGATGTTTGAATTAGGAAATTAATTGTATGAATAGGGGGGTTTGTTTGGGAGGGAGTTTTTTTATGCATTGAGTTTTATCTTGGAGTTCTTGGGATTTTTGGATCTAGATTGCTTGTCTAGATATTTGGGAGAGAACGATCCTCCTCTCGAATTGGGGATCACTTGTATCTTGCTTTGTCTTTGTTTGGCTTGATTCTCTTAGTGCAATCCAACGTTTTTTGTGCTGATTTTACCCATATTTTGCATTATTCTTGCTGTTTTCTCCAATTAGTGATATGTTTGCTTGCAAACTGAAGTATTTCCCTTAGGGTTACTTGTGAATTCAAGTATTTCCTATCAAATTGGTATCAGAGCATCATCTTGGGACCATCGGCGGCTAAAATTTTAAAATTTCAGCGGGTTTTTTGGCATCCGGCAGAAGCCCTCTTGAGATCTTTGGGAAGAATGATGGCTGGAAAGAATGTCGAAGTGTTGAAAGGTGAAATTGGGCAATTAAAATCAGATTTTGAGGGAAAATTCTTTGATTTTCAAAATCAAATCTCCTCCAACAATGAAATGTTGGAAGGGAAGTTCACGATGTTGAAGAAATTACGAGAGGTGAAGACCAATCCGACAACATCGGAAGCAAGGGAGACCACCAGCGGTCATGGCATAGGAGGGAATCTGAACCCATTTATGGGGAGAAAAAATCTGGCAGTGGAGATCCTTGAGGGGGAGGATGTCATGTCACCTCTAGAACCACTTTCTAGATAGGAGATAAGCATGGGTTACGAAAAGAGAGGTGCTAATTTTGTGGGAATAAGGGGGGATTTCCACCACCGAGGTGCCGAGTTTGAAAGAAGGAGAGGGGAAGTTGATGATGACTACGGTTATGCTCGTCGGACGGAAGATCGTGACAGCTGGAGAGCACCTCCTGTTCGTGGAATGGGAGGATATGGAGGATCTAGGGGCAATTGGGGTGACCCGAAGGTCAGAAAGTTGAAGATGCCCATCTTTAAGGGCGAGGATGGTCATGGTTGGATCTACAAGGTGGAACGGTATTTTTCCATCAACGGGCTGATAGAGGAAGAGAAGCTGACTGCGACAGGACTATGCTTGGAGGGAAAGGCACCGGCTTGGTACCAATGGCGGGACATGAGGCAACCCATCAAGAGCTGCAGAGAGTTCAAGGAGTGCTTACTGGAACGTTTCAAAACCAGAAGGGGAGGGAACTTCTATGAGAAATTCTTTAACATGACACAGGAGGGAACAGTGGCAGAGTACCATGATCGATTTGAGTACCTAGCTAGCCGGCTAGACTGTCTATCTGAGACAATGCTTGATGGGAACTTCATGAAAGGACTCAAACCGGAGATCAGAGCAGCTGTTAGAGTGATGCGACCGCGCGACTTGGGGGAGCCCATAGAGTTGGCACAGCTGGTTGAGGACCAGAAACATCTGGAGAGGGGGGCTTGTGGCAATAGTTCCGGGGGATCCTACAGGATGACTACTACCTTTCTAGCTCCCAAAGGAGCTGTACCGGGAGGATCACGGGAAGTACCAAGGGAGAAGTCTGGAGGAGGGCCTAAAGGAAATTTTAAGAAGTTGACAGAGAAGGAGATCCAGGAGAAGCGGGCTAAGGGGTTGTGTTTCAAGTGCGATGAGAAGTACATGTAGGGGTGTCACTTTCGGGTCACGGGTCGGGTTCGGGTCGAACCCGAAGCTGACCCGGCACTATTCGGGTCAACCCGAACCCGACCCGTTTTTAAAAACGGGTCGGTTTTCTTGACCCGAACCCGACCCGCTTCGGGTCCGGGTCAACCCGACCCGACCCGAATGACCCGTTTTCAACCAAAAAATTGCTAATTTACGGGTCAAAAACGGGTCAATCTCCTCTTTTCGGGTCAAAATCGGGTCAAAGTCGGGTCAATCTCGGGTTGGCGGGTCAAAATCGGATTTTCGGGTCAAAATCGGGTCACTTTCGGGTCAATTTCGGGTCAAAGGGTTAACCCGAACCCGACCCGATTTTTGAAACGGGTCGAAATGTTGAACCCGAACCCGACCCGTTTCGGGTTCGGGTTGACCCTAACCCGAAATTTTCAGGTCGGGTTCGGGTCGGGTTTTCGTGTCGTTTCAAATATTGACACCCCTAAGTACATGCCATGGCATAGGTGTAATGACCGAACTCTTCAGGTTCTTACCATCTGTGATGACGAGGAAGCTGAAGATGGAGGTGGAAGCGGGTTAGAGAAGGAAGAGGAGGAGAAGTTGCATTTGGATGTGGCAGAAATCTCCCTAAACTCAGCAGTGGGATTTACTCCGAATTACACTATGAAGATGAAGAGAGAGATAGTTGATAGGGATGTGGCAGTGTTGATAGATAGTGGGGCAACCCATAATTTCATCTCCACCTAGATTGTTGATCTATTTGGGGTGAAACTAGTGGATACAGGAGGGTATGGGGTGATGATGGGCACCAGAAAGGTATAAATGGGCAAAGGAGTTTGTAAGGGAGTCGTGTTGACCATTCAGGGGATACAGGTGAGGAAGGATTTTCTTCCCTTGGAATTGGAGAGTACGGATGTCATCTTGGGGATGACATGACTGCAAACCTTGGGAGAGAC